AGTTTCTGGTGTATGAGAGACATAACAAAAGTGATAAAATGATGGCGTTCGGGGAAATAAGTGAAAATAAATATTTTTGATCCATACACAAAATCCAGGAACTGAAGTAAATAGAAGAATTCCTTTAAAAAGGGTTGAGTACTATATAGACAGCAAAGATATGACTATAAGAAAATAAGAAACGATTTATTTATTATATATTTATGTAGTGTTGTCAGATCACATAGACATATGTGTTGGTGTTTTATATATCAAATTATATAGCAATATAGCAAATATAATATTTTCTAATATATTTTCACAATAATATAAAAAAATTTCCATCTAAAGAATACAATTCATATGATAATTTTAAGCTCATATAATATCATTTATTTGTCTTCTTCAAACTATTTAAGTGAAATCCATTCAAAACTATTTTCCATACTCTAACCCTGTTTAGTAATCAATTGTGTTCATGTGTTTATATTTGTAATTGTGTTGACAAATGTGCAAGTGTATTACTTACTAATATTAATATTATAAGCTTAAAAGTAATTTATCATACTATCATACAAACACTAACAATGATAACAACAGTAACAACAAGTCACAAATATATGCCTGCACACACACACACGCACACACGCATTCGAGTACATTGAAATTCACACAAGAGCAGAAGAGCAGATACTGCATTAGTATGATTAGTAATGTAGTCATGTTCATTATCACACAGGATATGCTTGGCAAACATATGCACAAACATAACTGTTATAATGTCCATTTGTAATTGCTTCATTCATACTGCATAAACTGGGATACGCTCATATGGTTACAGTGCTATGCATGTTGTGTGTGTGTGTGTGCGCTGTGTGGTTGAGTTTTGTTTATGAGTGGTGTGTGCATGAAGTGAAAAACAATTTAATTACACTGACAACGAGTACAGTTGGCATATTTCATATTACGTATACGCACTGTTGGCTCTGATGGCGCTGTTGGGATTGTTAGGAATGTTGTCACTCATTCCGATACTTTTGAGCTTATATATTTATCGGATAATGTATATGCTCATGAATAGTAATTATTGCATTGATTTCTGTAATAATGCATTTAGGGATATGCATCCGAGTTTTATGTGTGAATAGCAAAAGTCAAAAAGCAAAAATATTAGTAATTTATAATTAAAGATTGAATATTTTGATGTACTCATATTTTTATTTTATTTTTATAAATTATTATAATTTAATTATTGTATTAGATGTAATATAAAGGTTAGTGAACGAAAGAATAAAAATATTTTGGTGCATAATGCATAAGTTTAGATAAAGCTCACTTAAGCTCAAAAAATGGCCTGTTATGAAATAAGAATAAGCGTTGTTCATACACAGACTAGAAGGTAGGCGTACAAACAACTGTGAAAGGTTCCTCTCCGATAATTGAACTAGCAGGACAAGCCTATAAACTTAACCAAATGCCAAATTTTGCAACATGACAACTCTGCAAATGTTTAGTAGGAAGAAAAGTGGTTTCAAAGAGTTTAAATCTTGTCCTAGCTAATGACAAATATGAAAATGCATGCGGCGGAATATAGTTTCCTCCTCATCTGCAGAACCACAATCACGTCAATATTGGGTAGCCTCAGTCTTATAGTAATTAAATTTTGTAAAACTTTAAAATTTCAACTATTATTACTAACATTTTGATTTGGTGTATTCTTTATCTTATATCTGACTTTGAAATAATTGAAGTAAACAAAGTACATCAGTAATGTTTACTCTTTACATTAGAAAGTAAAGCAAATATTTTCAAACCTTACTGAAGGAGAATTTTTTATAAGTGTCCTCACTTAATTCGATTTATCTAAGCTATTAGAGGCTGAATGTTTGATGGATTTTTATTTTATATATCACTGAAATGTATATCTGGGGTATGTACAATGTAATTAAGTAAATTATTTTAATTCACAGTAGATAGAGCAACAATAGCATAATGCCAATGGATATATTACAGCCCTTTTTAAAATGTCTGTGATTAAACAACGATAACAGTTGGTGCTTGTTAAGATATTGAAAAAAATATGTGATCTATATCATGATGCAAGTTATTCCAATGAAAAATACGTTATGCATTAATACATATGCTAAATGAACATGAAAACAAAGGAACACCTCTCTTTCATTTTAAGAGCTTGGTTTGAAGCAAAGACACCTTTACTGGAATAATCTATCAGGATCACAGAGCACCAGCAAATTAGATAGACCAAATTGGTATGCCGTTTATTCATATTATTTGCAGGCATCAGTGTCTTTTATTCCCACTCTTGAAAGGCTGGATAATATGGTAGTAACATAACTAGCTTAGAAATCAGTAATTAAAGTAAATTTGGATACTTTTAGATTAAGAAATCAATGAGCTGTTTTTATTATTTTTGACATTACCCCATGGCTTTCCAAATAATTTAAACACTATGTTTTGTAGTAGTGATAGAGTTAAGTGAATAACTGGATTACAGTTATGCCTTATTTTCACCATGTCATTTTAAAGGACAATTATAATTGACTAGTGTGTCAAATGCGTTTGTATTACATGACAAGAATGCGAATATGACATCATATGACTACACGTTTTCATTACACTGACAATATTTGACATTTAAACTGACATAGTGAATATGATGCATAAGGCTTGAATCGAATAAAGAAAGTTTGCATGATAAATATAATTACTTCATTAGAAGTGGTGTTATATAGTATCAATTCATACTCAAATTTGAAATATAAAATTTTAATTTTAAAAATCTGAATTAAAATCAAATTAATGTTTAATTTTAAATAAATAATTATTTCGAAAATATCATTTATCAATAAATTATCCAAAAATTCCTCTTGACGCAAAATAAGCAAATACATTAAATAAATAATAAATGTTTTAATCAAATTTTTTCAATATTTTATAATTTTATCATTATATTTGTTATATTTTAATTAACCCAAATTAGCACTTAAATATTTGTGCAAATATTTTATAATAGTAATTTGATCGCAAATTAAAGTAGCAAACCATATATCAATAATTATGTTTTACATCAACTAAACGAAATATTTGCGTCAGAAATTGTGCAATTAATTAAAAATTGATTACATATTTAATAGATTTTAATTAATGTTAGTATGTAATATTAGTATGTATGTAGTCGATGCCAGAATTCTGAATTCGTGCACGGTTTGCCTTGCATAATTTCCTATCACCGCCTCAATAGCACTGCGCAAAATATAGATATTTTAATTTATAATTAACATATTTTATTATTAAGCTATTTATTAAGTGAAACTAGTAAATTAATTACTTATGCAAATGAATGAGAACTATTTTACCACAGCAAAGTGGGAGATTTTTCCAATAATTACATAAATTATTGAAAAAAACTAAGTTATAGTTTACATGGAATTCATGAGATACTATACAGTGGATGAGTTTCACAGGAAGATGCAATATCAATAAATTGAATCTTTAATGCGAATTAATAAATAGAACATCTTAAAAAATAATTTAAAAATGAATTAATTTAAAAAATTATTCTTATTTATGAAGAATAAGTAAGAAATAATTTGAAGCTTGAAGTGAAGACATCGATAATGGGTGAGGTTCAAGAAGATCGGAATGTTAGCAGTCATGACTAAAAAAACTACAAAACTGTTTCAAGCTAGTATCAGATTAGATTCTTTATATAATTTTTTATCTTTATATAATAATTTTGCCTCATGAACTGTGTGAAAAAATTTTATAGAGTGAATATTCCTCTACAAGTTATTGTTAAAATTAAACGTAGCCGATCTATTTTTAAACCTTGTAACTTAAAATGATGAAAAGTGAGTAAATTCGATTATATTATTTTCAATTATATATTTTCAAACGTTCTTAGTGGAAAAAAACCGAAGTTCTATAAATTGAATCAAACCTAGTATTTGTCCAAAAAAAAAAAAAACGAAAAATGTTATAAGAATTTTTTTCTATGCGAGGTACTGAAATCTCAATCATTACAAAAGTCATTTTCCGATATTATATAATCAATCAGCATGTTTCAAGAGTGGATATTATATCCAATTAATAATACAAAAGCTGTGGTAATATGGAGGACCAAGAATCTATCAAACATCTTCTCTGTTGCTCTCATGAACTTAACAAGGAAAGAATAAGAATATAAGTCTATCATTTGCTTGAGGATACCTCGTATGTTCCACCGTTTTTAAATGGAGGTTACTTTAATTTGTTACATTGACAAGATAATCAATAACGATTAATGGTTTAGGAATTCTACTCGGATCAAGTGGGATAATAATAAACTAATATGGCCAACATGTGTTGGTTGTCAAATAGAAAAAAATTTACGACTCTGCTATTTAATTTGTTATACTGAAAATGTGGTTTAACAAGGGTTAATATTTTGGGATGATGTGGTATAACAGCTGATCAACTTGGTCTAAAATTGTTCGTTGCCAAATTAGAAAGTTTCCGATCATAATTGCTTATGTACCTAGCGAATTTGTTACATTTATAATATAGTTTACGAAAGTTTAAGGTTTTGGGGATCCTACTAAGATCATGTGGCATTCAAACAGGTCAAGTTAGCCCAAGTTTGACGGATGCAAATTTACTACCATGAAAACTTGTCTACCAATCGTATTTTGTTTGATAAGATGGTTTAATAAGGATTAATGTTTTAGGCATACTACTGCAGTTGTGTTATATTATATGGTACAAACCATCAATTCGACTTTAATTTTTCGGCGGTAAAACCGTTTCATTTGGCGTTCATAATAACTTGTTTAACTAACTAATCTGTGACATTGACAAGACGGTTTTAAAGGGTTAAATTTTATGAGCTTTTACAGGGAGTATATTGTATAACAACCAACAAATTTTTTCTAATTGTATCGGTTATTAATTCCTATTTTGCATATATTTAATATGAAAAGGAATATAATAATAATTTTAAATATATAACATCTTGAACTCACCTGCGTCTCAGTGACATTTAATAATTTGGCCATTTCTGTACGTTCGCTAGAGCTTAAATATTTTTTGATTTCGAATTGTTTTTCTAATTCGAAAATTTGTCTACCGGTAAAAGTAGTGCGTGCCTTCTTCTTTCGGCGAGCATCTGTTGAACCAGAATCTGAATCATCTTCTGTGGTTTCAATAGTAGTCGATGAAGCGGCTGGTGGTGTATTCAAGACTTTATCACGCATTAGGCTATCGCTACTACCAGAGGGACTAACATCAGGCGGTGCAGCAACTGTTGTTGTAGCAGTACTTGTTGTTGCTGTAGAATTACTATTAGCCGAATGTCTTTTCTTTTTACCGCTGGCCTTGCTGACATGATGATTATTATCTATAAATAAACAAGTCAATAACAATAAATCAATAATTGGAAATGTATAACAATTATAAATTTATTTTATAGATTAGAAAAAAACATAAATAATTTAATACGTAATTCAATTATGTAGAAATAAATGTTTAAACAACTTCATTGCCATTTATTTGCCATAAATGGAAACTGATTGAGTTGCAATTTTATTTAATAAAAAATTGTGTTATTAATTTCAATCACTAAATTACTTAAAATGGTTTTAATTTCAGTCACTAACTAAGCCAAACGTAACATAATAATTCTCTGCTTTATTAGTTTTTGCTTTTAAACACAGCAACATTTGTTTGTTGCAGTGCATGTTGCTAATGGGGTTTCGTTGTAATTGTTGTTAACATGTTGCTATTAGTGCAGTTGTCAGTTGCAACTTGTTACTTGGCACTTCGTATATCATTGGCTTGCATATATTAACTAACGTTGGCTTGTAGTAAATTAATATTGGTTTTGCTTATATCATGAAATATTAAAACATTAATAAGTGAGGGAAATGATAATAAATAAATTACAAAATTAAAAGAAAATAAAAAAAAATTACATATTTAATAAAATCAAAACAATTTATGCTAAATATGCATAAAGTGTTGCGTGTCACGGCAGTTAATTAGTCAAGACTTGTACTCGTATTTGTTGACTTGTAAGTTGTTGGTTTTACAGGAAAAAACATTAAAAATATAAATATTTTGTACGTGAGTGAACTATAAAATTATCTGGTATTTATTTTTAGACAAATAAGCTGTAAGTTAGTGTCATTTCAGACTCAAAACTAGATACTTCATAATGTATCTGAACAGCAAATTGCAAGCGGCACACATACGTCATTCATGGCTATGGCAATTTTTAAAATTGATTTTCCAGTTACGCAAATGCCTGTTTCAAGTTGTGCACAATTAAATTAAAAACTAAACAGAATTGTAATTAATAATCTTTTCAATAAGTAATTATTTAGCTGAAGCAATTATAGTTCGCCAGCCAAATAGAGTAAACAAATTAGTATGCAAATGCAAATATAAATGCAAGTGCTTTGAACAAATGTGTGCTTCTGTACTTCCAATCCAATTGCAATAGACCGCACTTCCCCATTCGTGGTGCATTCGATGCATTCGGTGCATTCAGTGCTTTCGGTGCTCATAAAAAATGCACATTAAACTGCAAATTGCAGTAGAACACAATCGTAACAAAAGTATATTTACTTACATACGTACTAGAGCTCGCACTTCAAAAGCGAATTAAAAATCAAAATAATTTAATTTAATTGAAATGAATTCAGGCTCGTGTTTTGATTTGCATTTACTGCATTTGCTGCAGTTTACTGCATTTTACATTTCGTTTTATTTCATCTCATTTCATTGCATTTTATTTAATTTTTCTTACATTACTATATATTATTTTATTATTTATTTATTTATTTGTTTTTATTACTCTGCTCTTACGTACATATATGAAAGGAAATGATTGTAATTTGAATTTGCCGCATTTAAATAATAATCACGTTCATTAATGGCATTGTTATTGAATAATGCTCTCAGCTAAAATGTATCAAATTTTAATTAATTAAGGAATTATAAGTACAATAAGCAACAAAAACAACGCACAACGAACACAATAAAAAAAAACATTCCATAAAATTGTTATCAATTTTAAATTAATTTGTAAATCCATAAATGTATTGTTGCAATATCTATCTATATCTATATATGTGTCTATATACATATAAATGCATTTGTTTCGTAAACGTTTAATTTATTGAATTATTTTAATGCACAGCTGGTATTTAATGTAATTACTTTTAAAATAATATTTCAATAATAATGAATCATTGATGAATGCACATATGTGTACATCATATACACAATAATAAACATATATCAATAATTAATTTTATAAATTCGTAAGCACATGTATATATATATTAATCTGTAAACTCTTATATTGGTGAGTATATACAATGATTAATTTGAAATTATATACTAATTAAAATAAATAAATGTTATGTTTGGATTAGCTTACATGGTCGAAAATATAAGTTTAAACTTCATACAAACTCAGAAGGTTTTTATATATATCTAACTTAAATGAGTTTATAATTTAAACCGCAGTTTAATTAAAACTCACACAATTTATTTTCTACGACTTAAACTTTAAAATTTGAGCATTCAGCTCCGAGAGTTTATATTCTTATATATTACGAATTATCAACTTCAGTGGGTTTAAAAAATTCAACCTCAGAGTTTAAATATATTGATTTAAACCTTAAAAAGTTGTCAGAGTTGTGAATTTAAACCAAAATTTTCGACCGTATATAATGGCGACAAGGTTAAAAGATCAGCTAAGATCGCGGTGCTCCGCTCCGTTATGAGCCGGTATCCTGTTAATGTCTATTCTATAGTGATGACCTCACACTCCAAATGCCACTTCAATACAAATAATAGCACATTATGTTATCAAAGATAAACGTTGTTAATCGCCCAAACCAGGTGTTACTTTGGTCAGCAATGGCGATAAACGCCACACAAATATTGAGAAAATAAAAGCTGCTGGTAAATGTTCAGATGATAATATGAAATTGTATTCTCTCCCACTTCGAGATAGGGATTAGAAAATTCTCGAGGTAAGTTACGCTTGTCGTAAGAGGCGACCCAAATTCAATAAGCAGTCGCCGATACTGTATAAATGAAGTATAAATGGTAGTAACATTGTTTCACTTTAGACACCCAACAGGAGATGTAAATTTGGTACAACGGTGGTCATGATCCACTGTACTCTCTAACTGAAGTTGGCCACATTAATGGGAATATCTGTGGTGGCTGTGGTTGAAATTATAGGTAACGAGTTTAAAATTATTATATTTATTACTTCCATTTTATGTGAACTTGCGTTTTACAAACGGTTGCAGTGACGCAAAATGCGGTAGAGGTGTTACATGGGTCTTTCTTTTTATCCAATAAAAATTTTCATATCTAAAACATATAGCTTCAATTGGTATCAGTGAAATTTCTTGAATTTAACTGGGGCCGTTTATCGGAACATTTTAATGATCCGTGTGTCAAGAACACCAAGATGTAGAACACCAAGCGTTAATGACAGCTAATAACGTTAATAAGCAATGGACTGTATCCAAAAAGAGTAAGAAAACCGTAGACCGTTTTTATTAACAACAAACTTTAAAAAAATTTAAGTAAAAGTTTAAGAAACAACCTAACAAGTGATCTATATCCATGATATACAAGTATAACGACACTGTAAGTTTGGTAAAAAAATGGACTCCAAGATTTTTAGGCGCCTACTGATAAATGGCTATAAATAGATATGGAATGGTGTAAGTAGTGTTTATGTTCATAATAGTTACTATATAATTTTTTAAGCTTTTCTACATTCGATTTGGGACTTAATTAAAAACACAAATGATGCACCTACTAATATGATTTATAACTATACATTATTTAATATATCACACATTTCTTTATGTATATATATGTGTAATTCTAATTGTAATATATTATAATTTTGTTTTTAATCTTATTAATTTTTTACTAATAAATAAAAATGTTTAAGTGTAATTTAGCAAAGCCACACAAGTTGGTGATATGTTGCACTTAATTTGCTTCGTACTAAATTAATCGTTAAATTTTGTATTTAAATATATACATATATGTACGTAAATATGTATATATGTATACATATATATAAATATAATATATCTTATAATGTTAATATGTTAATAAGTTCTATTTCCAAATTAAATAGTGTTGAAATACAAAATAATTAACTTAAAATGAAATAGTACTTATGCGTAGCCAATAGATTAAGCAAAAAATTGGACATTCATTTGCATGCAAAAAACTAAATTGCTTATAATCTGCAGTCTGAAAAAGCAAAGCATAGATATAGTCACTAATAAAAGTTTCTAAGATTTTTATTCAAAGATTTTAATTTCCTTTAAGTGATTTTTTGCAACAACATCATTAGTAATATCAACAGATATGGAAACATCGCTAGCAAGTTGCACTTACCATAAGTAATTGCAACAAGCAACCGTGGCAACATAAATTCAATTGCTGCAACATGTTCAATAGATCATGACGCAGCAAACTGGGCGATACCGTTGATGAGGTATACGGCGTCAGTTCAAGACGCCATTTCTTTGGTGAATTTTGGCTCGTGATCGCTAAGTTATTGAGGCGTCACAAATTTAATCGCACACAATTTACAGAGATCAGGAGTGAGAAATTTTTTCTCAAAATATTCTGAAGCACACAATGTACTCTTGTGGATTTGCTAAATGGAAAATTAGTGGCATTTTAATCAGAATGCTACAAAGCATTGTGGAGTAGTTGAAGTGGTTCTCTTAAGAATCTAAAACTTCATAATTTTTTTTATTAAAACATGTAAAAGATAGTGATATTCATGTATATGATTGAATTTCTTTTATTATATTTGCAATAGAAATACATAGTAATTCAACATATTTTATGGAAAAAGTATCTATAATTTATATTTTAAAAGAAGATAATGAAATAATCCTAAAACAAATACTTATCTATAAATAGGTAGCTTAAAAATGATCTGTTACCTATTCTGTTAACAATAGTTGTTTTTGTAATTATACTTTTGAGTGTTCTACGATGGCAAACAACCATTTTTGTGTGAGATTTTTTTGGCAAAAAACTCAAAGAATGTGATTAATAAAGCACAATGGTAATCTGATATGGCTATATGTAACTTTTTTCTGTACCCGAACTAAAATTAGCCATTCGAGGAAACGTTTCGAGTGAAATATAGAATATAAAGAATCGATTGTATTGCCTCTTATACTTCAGGTAATCACCGGACAAAATAGTTGATTCGTTCGTTTACCTCTAGAATGATGTTTTAGCTAAGAAGAATAGAGCTGAGGTTGTTGGTGGGTCCTCATGGTTTACGTTATTATCTCAACAAGATGAGTGTGTTTCAATATCTAACAGAACTTTGTATTTAGTTGACGATATTCTAGAATGTAACTAGATCTCTAACTAGATCCTTAGCTACATTCTTTTGCAGCTTTGTTCTCAACAAGGAAAATACTGGGAGTTTCGAACGTCATCCGATGTTAGGATGTCCTCAAAATTTGGTATTTTGAATTTGTGCCTTTTAGGCAGGATGTCTTTTATTCATTGTTTCCAGTCTCTGTGAGCTAGAACTTTGTTTATTTTCTATGCTATTCTATTCTTGTTTAAAATCTTTATATTAACAAATGAAAACTGATTCTGACGAAATATAGTCATTATAAAACTTAAGAAACTCTTCTTCGACTAAATAGTATATTTTCTTGCCAACATAAGATCTTATATAATATAAAAAGCTCTTATTTATTGCTTATTATAAAACAATTAAGTAGTTAAGTAGTTGTTATTCATTAACTGTAGATGTAATATATTTAATTTATATTAAAATAATATATTAAAATATTGTATTGTTTTATCATAATTGAATGTACTTTAATATATAAGTTTCTTATATTAAATTTGAATAATCATACCCTTATCATTTTACGATTTTACATTTATAGTATATGTTATAAAATAAATAACAAGAGTGCTGTAATACAGCACTGCTTAAGGAACATCATTAAAATGTGAATTGAGGTTAATAGTAACTCGGTGAGTAACTCTTTAGTTACGATACTTTAAGTCTATTTCTAATAATGCGTGTTGGATTTTTATCAACTGTATTATTTGAAATGAGTATCTTCTTCCTCTTCTGCAGGAGGAAGGCCTCATAGGCGCAACAGCTTAATAACAGTTCTAGTCTGGTTCACCAAACTTCTCAAATTTTCATTATTTCTATCCACTGCTACTCAATCAGTGACGTCAAGTTCTTTTAAATTAGTTCTTAGCTTTCATATTAATGGAATTCGTACTCTTCTGTTAACATCTGGATTTTCGATACTCAATTTACATGTCAATTTATTGTGTTTGTCGTATTATATGGCCAACCCATCTAAATTTTGAAAATATTATTCGGGTTCTAAAGCTGCGTTGTTATAAATAAGAGAATTAAATATTTTTCCTTCGAAAGAACGAATTGTTTTCTTTTCCATTATACTTGGGCACGTTATGCGAAATATTAATCATGGTCGCTGTGTTCCACTTTCTGAAAGTCAGTACGCATTTTCTATACTATTTTATTCTATTGCCGTTAATATATATTATTATCTTTTCGATAACTATGTACATGTATATAAATATATCGATAAATACTAAATATAGTTTAAGTAGAAAAGCGAGGTCAGTTTATTTAAATAATTCGTTGGGAACTTACTTCATAATTATAATTGAAATATTTATAATTGACATTTTATTAATTATTAAATAAATACGCTTAATTATTATTTACATCAATTACAATGCTATTATTTCATACGAGTATAAATGTTCTGCATAACCTCCCTCAACTTCTCGCCATAAGCGATTACCGATTATTGCCGTAAGTGCATGAGAAGCAAAATAAATTTTATTGCCATTAAATTAATTGATTTAAAAAATGCGATATAAATAAATACGAATATACGAGTACATCCATATACGTCCGTTTGTCATTATATATATATTTATGTATGCCAATGTATATCCCATTATAGGTATCGATATTTTTATTATTGTTATTATTGCATTGTTAGTATTAAAATTATTTTTGTGCCCGATTGCTGTTGTCGTTGGTGATGTTGTTGGTGTTGTTGTTGCTGTTGTCGTTGGTGATGTTGTTGGTGTTGTTGTTGGTGTTGTTGTTGGTGTTGTTGTTGTTGCTACTGCGGTAGTTAGTGGTGTTGTTGGCGCTGTTGTTGCTACTGCAGTCATAGCTGCTGTTGTTGGAGTTGTTGATATTGTTGTTGTTGATGTTATTGTTGGTGTTTTTTGTTGGTGTTTTGTTGGTGTTGTTGTATTTTAAGTTTTACTGAATTTTTTTTTTGAAATTCTGAATTATTGGTCGATTGCATTTTATGTGTGTTGTGCATTAAAATCGTTTTCATTTCATTTAGTTTCATTTCGTAGCAATTTCCATTCGATTCGATATGTAATTGTTTTGACCTATTTTTTATGACTCGGCATGGCATTTGTGCATTGTTGCTTGTTCAAAAATTTATTATTGCAAATTGATGGCAGCAATTTGTTTTATGCAATTTTTGTTGGTCTTCTCTACTTGTTTTATTATAGCGAGTAGGATTTTTTTTGCAGTGTATTCAATTTGCATATATTTAATTGTATGATTTTATGACTTATTTATAAATGTTTGCATGTGATAGTCGCATTATTAAAAATTAATGACGTACAAGCCAAACATTTTAAAATTAATGGACGTACTCTTTTAATTATCATAATCAACAACGGTTAACGGGTTTTCATAACATTAATTAATGTTTCAAAAATAATTTTGTGAATTGCTTGTCAAATGATGTCCCTGGGTTTCGGTGTAATTATTACTGTAGGGTAAGGGAGTAAGTAGAATGACTTCACTGTACATGTTGTGACATTTTAAATTATATTTACTATAAATAAATTCTAAAAAAAGAAGTTTTTGGTTTAATCAAAATTTCACATGGAATTATTATTCCAAAAAACTTTTATAGTTTAGAAATTGATTATTATTAAAACTGATATTGGTACATCAGGAACATTAAGTTTTATTGTGCGATACCAAAAAAAAGTCTTTTATCCTAAAATAATAGATTCGGACAACTCAAAATTTCACATACAAATATTTTACCTTAATATGTTTTAAGATATTAGCATTTTTTCTTCTTTTCGGAAGGTGGAAAGGTTAGAAGGCTCTGCGTGTCTTTAACTCACTGAAAACTACCTTTTAGGATTAGTTTTTTAGAAAGATTCTCACCACAGAGATCGTAAAGATCTATTGAACTGTGAATGCTAGTCCAATATTTTACATTTGCTCTAAAGTAAGTAGATAGATAACATTTGGAATAGGTAAGGAGTTGATATTTAAACTATTTTAAATGTTGAATTCGAGAAGTACATGTTGTTGCAAAGACGGGACAAGAGTATAGAAAAAATATCGTGGTGTTGTCGCCCTTCACATAAAGTGAATATAAGTGATGTGACCAGTGATTTTCTTCTAATTTTTGAAATAATATTAGTTTTAGTTCAACTTCGGTATAACTCTCAACTTCGTTCATAAATTAATTGTAATAACTATAATCTGTCATAACGGAATTTGAATTTTGTAAAGAAAGAAAAAGTTTTATCAGTGTACCTAGAAGATTTGGATCCTATTCAAACATATGGTATTTAATGTAGGGTAGTCATTCATTAGTAAATATTTGGTAAAATTAATTTTTTTTATATGTAATAGTTTGTGATGTTTTAAGTTCGTCTGGTTCGATATATTGAATTTTAACATTAAGTTTTGTTAAATTATAATAACTAAAAAAAATATATTTTATGAATAATAATTTCCACTTATGTGTATACTCCTAATACTTAATTCAACTCATAAAAATATAATTGAACATCACTTACCTTTTTTCAGCTGCTTGGTATATGATTTAGTGCCATCAGTTGCTGTCGGTGATACGCCGAGCACTTGATTCTGTTTGACTGCAGGTGGTGGAGAGAGTGAGTCTCGAGATTTTTTCGGTACACATAAATCTAAAGGTTGATCATGTGATACAACATTTGCATCATCTTCGCTGGCATCACTAAACGAGGCGCTGCGCTTATGATTCGCATCATACACAGGCATTTGTTGTTGGAAATTACGCAAAATACTCTTTGGTGACTTGGCAGGTGGTAATGTTGCAACGGATGAATTTGATGATTCATCGATCATGTCTCTGATCGACGTTGTTGTCTGTTGATCATTATTAAGTGCTGCCACACGCCAACCAAGTATATCAGCTATGCTATGTGGTGTTGGCCGATTTGGTGGATGGGCATAAACGTGTGGATGCCAACTTGCAGCGTTGGGTTGACTTGATAAATCAGTGACCGAATGTATCTTATGCTTAATTGTTTGAGCATTAGTGCCAACGCCAACTTTCATTGGTTTTGGTGGGGTGCAAGCAGTAATTGGTGAAAGTTGCCGTCCATGCAATGGCGGTGTCAATAAATCCAATTGACGCTGATGTGTGGCTTTTGGTGTTGGTGGTGGTGGCGGGGGTGATAATGTTGTATGTGGTGATGGCACCGACATGCCGTTGCTATAAAATGCGCTACCGTAAGATGAGGAACGTGGAGTTTCTAGTGTTTTCTGCAAAAATGATGTGGTTGATGCTGTGTTAGCACAAGCTAATGGAGCTGAGAGTGGCCTTTGTTCCGTTCCACTACTACTGGAATCACGTACACGTAAAAGATTTGTCAATTTTTCTTTACTACTTGGGCTTATAGAAGTATTTCCTACATGGTAGTTATAGTTGGCGGTTATGCTGTTATTATAATTTGCTTCATAGGGATTCACGGGCGGTATTGTTAATGGACTACTGTAGACATAAGAACTTGTAGCCATTTTATAACCGTTCTCCGCATGTGTAGATTTTAGTTTATTACTATTGTTGCTTTTGTTAAATTTTTGTTGTTCTTTGACTAGAAAAGACTCCTTATCGAATTTATGCGCATGTGCTTCACTTACCATTTCCGTTGCTCCCTCACGATCCACTTCGGGCATCATTTATGTAAGATCTTCTGGTTCAAATATCTTAGTTCAATATTTCAAGCTGAAATTAAAATAAAAAAATTTTTAAATGGTTTTTTTTATTAAAATTATATAAATAAAATTAAAATTTATTTTCTATTAAATTGTCATAAAATATTTAATAAAAATTTTTATTTCACAAACAAAAAAAAAAAAAAAAAATTAAATTGTTTTTAAGGTAATTTGAAAAATTTCAAATAGAAATTATTGAAGTGAGTATTTCAAAAAATTTTTATAGTATTTATGAGCAAATACAGCGCAATATACATATAGTATAAGATACTAATATCATAAACTAACTGAAAGAACTCTTCGAAAGCACAATCAGTTTAATTATAAAGTAAAGCTACTCTAATATAAACACTTAATCCGCCTCCTAGTTTCGTATGCTTTCCTCAGTTCTGTTCAAATGGTAAGAATCCTTTTTGAGTCTAAAGCGATCCATGATTGCACCAACTACAAGCGCATGCTTGACGGCAAACACTTCTTCAACCCCATCCTTTACAAGCTAGTTCAGATTACTCGTATCGACGAGTGCCTCCTCGACGAGTTTGCTCAGCAGAACCTCACCCGGTTTCACAACATACCCCGACGTTTCAACCCCTATAATTCTTTCTTTCGATCTTTTGCCTAACGCGACAGAAAACACCCAATACGTTATTTTATTCTTCGTTGATGGGCATTTGAATGCCCACTGTATGCCGTAGCTTTAGTGCCAGAGTAAAGTAATTTCATACATTATTACTACTAACCTATGAAAGTGAGAGACATGGCTTTTTTTCTAATTTCCTTTCTTTTAACAAAAGGTGTTGTAAACTACTTTTTTATCAGTGTTCGGTATGCTTCTTTTATATTGAGTACTGCGGCCAAGTCACTGATAATAAGCTAATTAACATTTTCTTTAATTTTATATTACATAAATAAATTCATATACATTCATATAATATGAATATATCACTTTAATATGATTTCAATTGATTACTTTACTATTATTCAACATACCTTTAATTAGCTAATCTGTGGGTACTTTACTTCGATTATAATCGTAATTGATTTGTAACTGAATTAAATGAATTGAAAATAATTAAAAAACTATTTAATTGATTAAATATGACTTACAATGATATATATGCTTGCTTTAATTGACATTTTAAATATTTTAAAATGAATTAAATTTTGATATTTCATTTAATGAAAACATTAAAAAAATAAAAATTTAATTTATTTGATTTTAAAATTATAAAGTTATAAAGTTTTTCATCAATGATAAAATTCGGACGTTGTAGGTATAGAGTCTATAGTTTTTTAACGTAGTTACGTGTCATTAGGGCTTAAAACCACGAACTTCTTAACACACATATCAGCATAATGCAACGATATACCACCCACATGCAATTGAAGCTAAATGTTTGGATATAGTTCTTCTATTGTGTACGAAGCGAGGCCATCTAATACTTCTTCTGTTCTTTTGGATACAGCATCTGATTGCAAAATGCAAATCCACATCTAATAAAAGTGATTAATTGTCATTCTATTCTCGTTACTTTGGGTTTCAACCACAGCTAACACGATTGGTCAGAACAGCCGAAATTGTGTTCACTGACAATTGTGGTACCAGATTTAGACCTTTGGTTGGGTGCCACAAGTGAAACTCACTCACTACAATTACCCTCCAAACAGTACCGACTAGGCATATTGGCTTGTAGTCGTCTCTTAAGAAGGGCAGGCCTCACCTCTGTAATATTTTAACTCCTTTCACACGGCAGTCTTCTTTAGGCACAGAATAAAATATACGAGTCACTTTCAAATCTATTGAAATGGATAAATTATGAAAGAAAATTAAAGTTTAGTGTTTCGTAGTGGAGTGTTTTTGATCCCTTCGTATACTCATTTTTATACCGCGCTAAAGACATTGCTCAACTAACAGATATTAAATTGCCACCTTCATTGATGACACTGCAATTTAAGCGATTTGTGCTACAATGAAATTGCAATATGCAATTAACTTAATAGCATGTATACATGAAAAAATATAGAAAATTTTGTTATTATTGGGTGGAAAACACCACATGGAAAATCTGAATAATTAATCAGTGTGCTCCACTGAAAATGGAACTCGAATAATAAAATATTTTATGGATTAAAAATATGGAAGTCGAATGTAGGGACGGGTATACGCTATGTTAGATAAAGTTATGTCTTTTAATACTATATATTTATACTGATGGCTTCAAAATAGATGAAGATAGGGCAGTTGCACATTTTCTAATAAATCAGGTCATAGCATCTAGGTTTGACTACCAAACCGTTGTAGTGTGTTTAAGGCAGAAATTGTCTTTAATGCAGAATTTAGAGTGTCTTTAACACAGAAGTAATGGCGATACACTACGCAGTAAAATGGGTTCTCAGCATCAAGTTTCCCATTGTAAATACTATAATTTTTTTTGGATAGCCAAGCTGCTATCGAGTTTCTGGTAAATGCAACAGCTATATCCTTAACAATCCGAGAATACCGACTTTTTCTCAACCAACTAGCTACGCTTATCAGTTTTCAACTCACATGAGCACCTGGCCACTGGGATATCTTGGATAGCTTCAGGGCAGCTAGGCATCAGTTTCTAACTCACATAGATAACTGGTCACAGGAAGATTTCGAGCAACTGCAGAGGTGCCAAGATAAGAACTCTGTTTCTTGACATTCATTTCTCGGGAATTGGTATCTCAGTTGCAACTTCAGCATAGCTAAACCATCTTGTGCAAATAAACCCTTCTGTAAGATCTTAAGATTAACGTCATTGAAACTGAACTAAAGCATACTAGACAGCTGTTTAAACTTAGGTGTAGCCTATTCAGCATTATGGTACCTTTACTGATGGGCTATTAAGTACTATGAAGACAAGCTTTGAGATTGAATCTAAGCTATAATGAAACTTTGAGACTGGATCTACCCGGTAATGCATTTGTTAAGATTGTGGCTTTGCGGATAAGGAGGAAACTGTACTCTGTCCCATGTGTTAGTGTCCATCATTCACTAGGAGAAAATTTAAAATCTTTAAGGCTCCTCTTCTTACCGACCTGATAGAGCTATCATTCTACAAAATTAGGGACTTGGGCAAGTTTATAGACTTATTAGGCTGGTACACTTTTACTTAAATGACCTTTTAGTCTTTGTATAAACAGGACTATCCGTGGTATCACAATGGACTATGATTTGAGTTCAAATTTGTTTTGGGCACAAGGCCACCTAACCTAAGGTAATTATATTTTTAATTCATATTTGTTTTTAATATTTTCTCAAATTTAAGACAATTCCTAATAATTTAAAATACTTTAAAACTTAAACAAAAATGTGTAATAGCAAATTTTGTATTATTTTTAAATATTCAATGACCTACTAACATTAATTCAAATAAAACTTTTTGAAAATTTTAAATTCCTCTCTGCCCCACAACTGTTTCTGTCCGAATCTCTGTTGAGAAAAGGATAAGTTTGTAGTCAAATTAGATTAAATCACATAAAATATTACGTAGAATTAAATTTTCGAATATTTCAACTATTTTCTACATTCAGTCAATTTTACATAAATTCATTTAAATAGTAAAACTGAGTCATTTTAATGATTTATATATGTATTTGAACACAACTTTTAAGTGCAATTTAAATTTAAATACACATACAATTCATTTTCTGCCATTTATATCCAACATTGCATTTTAATTAAAGTAATTAATTAACAGCAACATCAAAATCCACACATACACACAAACATGAGCAATTACACTTGTGTTATTTTGGCACACAACCTATATTTCGACATTGACAGTCAGTGTTGGTGTTTGTGGATGTGTGTGCATAAACAGTGTTGCTTGGTAATGTAACTCAAAAGCCCAAGTCGACATTACAGCAGCTGTCAGTGTGGCATATCTACTTAAAAACATTTTCGGACGTCATTTGCCAACCTTCAACTTTAAACAAGCTCACTTACTCTAATTTTGCAAATGCACTCGCACACAAACTCACTGAACATACAAACTCACTGAACATACAAACTCACTGTGAACATACAAACTCACTGAACATACAAACTGACTGAATGTACATCGCACTTAGGGGCATAAGCACAGGCATAAGAAGTAACTGGTAAGCTAGGCTAGTAAGTAAACGTACGTGTAAACACTTAAGTGTATGTGTGTATAATTTGCAAAACTATAAAATATAGTTACAACTGTAATGAAAATACTATTTCCATTTCCGCTCCCTTATGTTACTCTTCTTCTTTTTTCCTGCTTCTTTCCATTGCATATGAAATATTGTATGAGAGTTGCCCCAAAAAGGTTTGTTTTGACTTATTTTCCGGAGGAGTATTTTACATTTGCATTTCTGTGAATTTTGTATGGAAAACCTGAATTATGCATGTGTATGTGTGTAGATGTCTGTGAATTGGTTTGTGTGTGTAAGTTAACTCATATCAAAACATTTGTAACTGACATAATTGAAGTTAATTTTGAATGCATGTGGGATTACGCATATTTACAGAATAATTCGGTAACCATGTTTAAGCACGCTTAACCCTTTACGCCTCACCTGTTATTAACCCACTTCAATATATTTATGTGATAAATGTAATTTATGTAATTATTTATATAACTTGAATGATATAAGTGCACACACATCCATAATTCTACAAGGGCTTAATTGACTTTGGAATGGGATTACTGTTTTTCGCTTCTCGGCTTCTGAAAAGCTTTTCATAATAATTTTTGACTTGAGTGATAACATTTTATAGTTATTTATTTGAATATATTTAATTTATATAAAAATTTTATAAAGTTAATGTATTGTATATGTATTGTAACTATTTATATAAAGGTAATGTGTACACTGAACTAGAATGAAACATCATAATAACATATATTTTTATATAGTTCAATATATGCATGATACAATGGCTGAATACGCCTAAGTGGATTCTTAGAATCGCCGATATAACCTATATAACTGCAGATTGATTCATAAGTAAAT